ACCCCAGCGGGCAGCCGGGAGTGCAGCCCAGCGCCGGCCTGGCACTGTCACCGCCCCGCTCCGCCCGCAGGGTCCGCGGCCGGAGGTAACTCGCTGGCCGGGTGGGGACCACCCTCACGCCCCGGCTGCGTGAGGAGAGCACTGCACACAAAGGGGAGGCGCGGAATCGTGCGCGGACGGGGCGGAAGACGAGGCGGGTGGGCGGCTCGGTACCTCCCCGGGGCGGCAGCGGCGGGGGACACGCCGTGACAGCCGGGCGCGGGCGAGGGCTGTGCCCTGGGATCCTTCCTAAAAAGCCGCCAGTCTTTTCCCTCCCCCTTTCCCGCAGAGAGAGCCCGGCAGCTCCGTCCAGGCTGTTCCGCGGGATGGCGGCGGGCCGCCCCGCGGGGCTGGGCGCTGCGCGCTAGCAGCCGCCGGGCTCCATCCGCGCAGCCGGGGCGCGGAGCCGGGCGCGGCCCAGAGCCGGCTGCGCCTCAGTCCCTCTCCGCCGCCGCCCGAGGCTCTTCTCGCCTCCCCGCCCCGTCTTCGGCCATCGCAGCAGGCATGGGCTGTTTCTGCGCGGTCCCGGAGGAATTTTACTGCGAAGTTTTGCTCCTGGACGAGTCCAAGCTGACCTTGACCACACAGCAGCAGGGCATCAAGGTAAGGACGCCAGCAGGGTTGAGGAATCGCGATGCGGGAGAGCCCGCGGGGCTGCCCGGCGGCGGCTCCCTCCCGACTGCGCTGCGGTAGCCGGGAAGGGAGCGGCGGCAGAAAAAAATGGGTTTCGGGAGGCGAAGGAATAATGTAAGTTTGCTTACGGTCGCGCAAGGGACAGATGGATCAGGGTGACGCGCGCCGGTGGGGCAGACGGCGCCCTGGAAGGCTTCACATCGAAATAGTGACTTAAAGCGAGCAGGTGCCGATCACCATGGCACACGGGACGCTCGGCGCAGAGGTATTGTTCTGTGCCTGCCAGAGCAAGAAAAGAGAAGGCGGCTGTGTGCACGGTGCGCCCGTGTTGAGTCATTCCCCGCTCCCTCTGTCTTGAGCCGTGCCCTCCCCGGGACGCGCTCTCCTGGAAAAAGGCCGGGGGCAGCGGTGCGGGGCGAGAGCGCAGCAGCTCCTGAGCGCAGGGCTGAAGGTCCAGCCGCCTCCCCAGCCCGGTGTCCCGTCGCCCGGCCGGTGGGAACAGCTCCTGCGCCGCTGCAGCACGCTCAGCGTGAATGAACTCTTCAAAGTAGTCATCTGCCAAGCGCTAACGAGCCCTGACAGAGCTTGTGAAAACTGAGATTTTTCTAAAGGCCCTTAACTTGGTCCTGTTTGGTTAAGTCTGATGGCAGCTGATAGCATGTCGCAGACACTTGAAGTCCTTGTTTGAAGAGCTGGGGACATGAATTTGTTAGCAATGTAAGAACGTGGTTTCAATGTTGGATTGTTGGATCAGAGAAAAAAAAAAAAAAAGAAAAAAAAAAGAAAAAAAAAAAGAGAAAACACAAACAAAGAAAGAAATTAGTCCTTCTAAAATTTATTGTTGGAAAGGGCTGACCAATTTTACGTAAGACATCCAAAGAATAAAATTTTGCATGCCTTTGCGTTTTAGCTTGAATGACTGAAGCTTGGTGAAGCAACTGGGGAAAGGAGAACCTGAAGGAGGGCAGTGGGGAGAAGGAGTTTGTATTTAACAATGTATTTTCTACCGTAATCAGCAGTATTACCAGGTCTACATGTATTCAGAATCGTCAAGCTTTGCTGAATCAACTACCTGCAGATAGGCCCATAAATCCATGCTTAGCATAGAGGAGTAAGCCAATCATGGTGACGCTAGAATTCAGTACCTGTGTAGGGTCTTTGAAGTCTAAGTTTAGACACTTCTGAAAAACCTTACTTTTCTATGTGCAGATGCGGGTGTGTATATCATGCATGCTTTTGTGCAGTAAATGTGCAGTCGCAGAAGTATTTTAAAAGTGTACTCTGCAAAGATGGTTAGTCTAATGAATCTAAACCCTGAAAGTGAAGGGTTTGTGCAGCATTATCTAATGTCCCATGGGAAAGAAAGAGTCTGAAGATGTAGCTCTTTCCAAGAATGCATGACTTGCAGTGTTGGGAACTGTCTAGTTTAACATGAGGGTGTGCTTTCCTGCCATTCTATACCACATCTGAATGTGGTATAATGCTGAATATTTCATCCCTTCTACCTGCTCCTTCTCTGTCTTGAATCCAACCACAGAGCAGTCGCGGAATCAGCTGGAACAGTGTGTGGATCTGACAAGAAAAGTAGTAGTTAACATTTTGGCATAGGCACTCACACTGCACAGTGGGAAACCTTAGGAAAGGGTGAATCTCCCTTTCTGCAGCAGCCTGTTTTCTGTGTTTTCTTTTTCTTTCCTTTGTTTTAAGATATAGTTTGTACATGGTGAAGCCACACCCCAGTGCTGTAGCTCCATGAGCCTTTGAAAACCCAAAGTGAGGAACTGCAGAGCTCACTCCCAGGCAGTGGTTTCCACCATGGTGCCCTCCTTTGTTTTGTACCCACATGAGTGTCTGTGCAGCTGTGCATGAAGAGCAGCTCCTGTCCAGCTGAAGGGTGGCCACTGGTTTGCCTTTTGCTGGGTCAGCCTTCAGCTGACCTTTGTGCCCTGGTCCGCTTCACAGCTGGAGGATAGCAGAAATGGCCTTTTCAACTCACTCTTGTCTTCTGTCATTTTCAACTGCACAGGGGATGTTCGTGTTGTTATTATTCTACAGCTTTTCAGGGATGTTATATTATCAATTCTTAGTGAAACCAAACATAAAATTTGTCATATTCTGTCATGCTTTGTCATTTGGCAATTTACCCTTGAAATACGAATGTTTTATTTTAAATATTTTTAAATGTATTCATGTAAATGCAGAGACTTTTTTTTTTTTTTTTTTTCTTTCTTTTTTAATTGGTGTTTCAGCTTTGGCACCTAGGTATAGTTTGTAGAAGTTCATATGGGTTTCATTTTAGAACAACATTTTTAAAAAACCCATTTCCTTAGAACTACAGATTCTGGATGGGATCTTCCTTTTGTCATCTTCACTTTTAATTTGGTTCAGAGATACATGGGAAACCAGCTTTTGGTACTCTTTCACAGATCCTGAATTGTTACAGCACCAGGGTTTTTAAATGGTTATACAAGCAACTTTGTTCTCTTATTTTCCCCAAGCAGATGCATGTCTGTTAGAAATAAAAACCACAGCTCAACAGCTTTTGGCTATCTATGTGCTTGCTTGATGTTAGTGGTTATAATCCTACTTGTTTTGAAGGGTGGAAGGCAGTGCCCTGTAGGAGTCCGAGGCAAGTTTATTTCTTCAGGGAATTGGATATGAAGTAGATACTTGTGTCCAGAGAGTTTTAAGGATGCATTGCTTAGTTTGTATAGTGGTTATTTCTGACTTGTTATGCTTGGCAGCATCTCTACTCATCAAAACATGACATTTTTTAATTACAATTTCATTGACACTTTCTTCATGGTACAGTGGGCTTCAAATTGTACTTCACATTGAACCAATGCGCAGAGGTGACAAGACTGGGACTTTGAGTGCAATTTAGGGATACTTTTCTCTGTGGACTTCAAAGAGCTTGTTAGGGAAAGGAAAAGATTCGTTTTCTTCTGACTCCCAACTGGGGAAGCTGAGATGGAAAGAGGTCAAGTGGCTTTTTCAAGGTCATACAGCAAGGAAAAAACTTCCCTTTGCTATCAGGGTGATAACAACTGACCATTCTGCCATGGGCTATGCTGTCTGGAGGGGTTTGTGAGGAACTCTTCCTCAAACTTATTAACTTACTTTTGCTTCTCAGGGTTTTTTTTTTTTTTTTAACTGTTATCAGTGCTGCATTGCTGTTCTTCCTTTCTGTCTTTGTGGTTTAAGGTTAGAGGACTGCTCTATGAAAATGTGTAAGCTGGTTCTCCAGCACTGAGGCTTACAGGAGGCTGATAAGAGTTAGGTAATCAGGAAAGGCCATCAGGTGTCTCATAATCTTAATTTTCATGTTTCCTGATAGTACATTAACCAGAGATATTCTGGAGTGTACATGCATTGAGATAAAAAAGAGTTAAGATAAAAGTTGTTAGTCCCAAAAATTTTGGGATGGAAGAGGTTATTCACCAAATTCTCATACAGTTTGTCTAGTCAAGGTATATGGCCTCAAATGGGGACAGCTTTTCCTCTTAAAAGGATGTTCAGATTTCCAGTTAAGAAGTGGGTTTTTGTTTAAGATATGCTAAAGATATGGTAAGTATCCGCTGCCAGCTGAAAAATGATCACTTTTCCAGGACTGCTACTTTGTCTTCTCTTCACACATACTAAACAACAACTTGGTCATGTTTATGGTACAGTACCAGTTGTAGCTCATCTGTTGATGTCACAAGACATGTCAGTGGTCTTTTGACATGGTACCTGACTGAGGGGTTGTGTGCATTACATATTTTGGCTCTGTTATGAACTGGGCTAATTGTCCTTGTGAACAGTGGTGTACCTTATTGCACAGACTTGTTTTTGGAGGTTAAGGAAAACTTCTGTGGGCCCTTAAAAATAATGCCTTGAAACCTATTGGTTATCAGCTGTTTCATAAAGAGTGCTCATCTCGTAATATGTATGTTACAGGAATCTAAGAACCCTTATTTTTCCTCCCTTGAAAATAGTATTTAAGGGAGATATTTGTTTTGTATTTTTTTTCTGAAGAAGATAAAATGATATGAAGCATCTGTATCTCATGTTTGCATCTCTGTGGTTGGAACAAAGATCTCAAAAAAAAAAAAATTAGCAACTTCCACAGTGAAGAAGCTCTCTAATTAGTCTTAAGCCATCTGGTCATTGCAGTTTTGAAGTGCTCCTTGAAATTCCTCTCTGAGCACAGTTTTTATGTTCTGTTTAGATTGACATGTGTGATGGGCCAACAGCGGTATTTCATTAGAAGAGAAGTGATGAACAGGAAAGATACACAAGGTCTTTCTGGGAGAAGTATATGTTCTGTAATATTTTATTAGGTGGTACCATTTATCACTGGTGGCCAGTGAAATTCTGGCCATCATACCACTTACTTGATGATTCACTGAGAATTTAGCAAAGGGTGGTTTAAAAAAACCCCAAACCCTTGCCAAAAAAAAAAAAAAAAAAAACAAAAAAAAAAAAAAAAAAAAAAAAAAAAAAAAAAAAAAAAAAAAAAAAAAAAAGCAAACCTGAAATAGAGAGTGACAGATATAAGGAACTGTGTTAAATAACTGGATATATAAAAAGCATGACTGGGTTCATCAGAATATTATACATATTTTGAAGATACTTATGGAATAATTGACAAAAGGATTCAGTATGATCTACAGAAGTAGGTAAACACACAATTTCTTAGAAAGTTTTCTGTAGAATATTTTGGTATTTTCCCTTTTATTTATATTTTTTTTTAATTTGTTCGTTTTTTTTTTTTTTTTTGGGGGGGGGTTTTTTTTTTTTGTTTTTTTTTTTTTTTTTTTTTTTTTTTTTTTTTTTTTTTTTTTTTTTCAGTCCCCAGTGAAGCTAAACAGTTCCAGACTTCATGTCTTTAAAATACAGTGTATACAGAAAGTATGGGGTGCACTTTTACATCAAGCTGTATTAGCTATTGGTGCACCAAGGAGTCAACCTGGGAATGACACGGATTT